TTTTTTTCCTTCTTTTGTTTTGTCTTATCTTCTAATGTATATATATTTTTTTCTTCAGTATTTTTTTTTTTCATTATTTTTGCATACTTATCTATTTTTTGTTTATTTACTTTCTTTTTTTAATTATTTGCACCGGAAATATATTTATCGTTATTTTGGTTCATTTGCAGTCTTTTTTATTTTATTTTTTTTTTCTAACAAGTTGTTACTTATTTTTTGATGACAGTTATCACATGGGAATTCAGCGTGGCAGTTTTAAGCATCGGTAATGCTTTCCAAATTGTATACTGTTGTTTTTGGTTTTTTTTTCTCCCCCCTCCCTGCTGCCGTTGCTGCTTTGCTGCCGCCCAGCTGTCAGGGGTTATTTTTCCGCTGTTTTGCTGCTAATATATATATTTTTTTCTGCTGTTATTTCTTCTTCATCGTTGTTTTTGTTACCATTACCATTGCCGTTGTGGTTAATGAGGATAAAGATGACAATAACAACTGTAGTTTCTGTTTCCGCAAACAGTTTGCAGGCTTATCTCCGCCTGAAGTCACTACTGTTGTTGGTGCTGCCTTTGCTGCTACTGCTACTGCCGTTATTGGTTTTGTTACTATTGCTGTTTTTATTGTTGCTGCCGCCATTGCTGTTACTGTTACTGCTGCTGGTACCGCTGCTACCGCTACTGCTGGTGGTGGTGCTGTCCATCAATCGTGTAACAGTTGCAAAAAATTGATACATAGATATGCCAGGCATTCATACATTTTACGATGGCTCTACGTTATTTCAACCGTTAGCCAATCGTATTGGAGTTGACGTTGATAAGGTTTGTAATTTTCTAGTTTTTTTTTGACTTTTAGTTTTCTTTATTTTTTCTGCCATTATACTATATACTAGTTTACCGGACACTTCAAATGGCTTGGTTGATTGGATAAGTTTTGGGAACAATTTAGATGAATCTAGATAACAGGTGAAAAAATGATCTGTACTACTCAGCGATTTAACAGCTGTTAGTTATTCTTATTTATAAACTGCAACTTTACATTATTGAATGTTACTTTTCGGTATACTATTAGCAACGTTTTTTTTGTTACTAAAGTATGAAATCAAAATAATATTCAACAATTTAAAGCTATCATCTGCTTCGCGGCTGGGTATTGTAAACGGGCCATTAGTATGCATAGGCTAACTATCCTTCTATATATGATCGTTTATCGTAGGGACAATTATATTATTCTGCTAAAAAATGATACGGGATTTGAGAAGTGTAAAATATTGATGTTTTGACTTGTTTGTTTACTACTGCAAGTGAAATAACTTCCGGTCATCTCTGGCTTTTGTTTCAGCATTTTCTTGGCACAGGGGCGCTTTGTTTTTATTTGACGTAGGTGTTGCCATTTATTTTCATTGTTGATCTTCTTTTGTTTTCGCTTTCATTTATTTTTCTTATTCATTTTATTTAATCGTTTACTGTTATAATGTCGTAAATTTGGTGTGTAGATAGTTATATAAGACTGGCGAATAATTGAATATGAGGGTAAAGCACAAGATGAAATGCTTTTGAGAATTCACTGCTTAGTTCAGTGGCTATGTACATATCCGTGAAGCAAATGAAACTTTTGGTGAATTTTTGACGGTGAAAAGTTAGGACTTCGAAATATTAATTTTGCTGTTTTTAGTTCATCTAGTTCAAACAGTTTTCCCACGTAGTTAGTTGTTGTTACTGTGGCTTTACCAGTGCTGAGTGAGTACAAACGCAGCAACATTAGTGCGAAAATTTGATTGCTAAATTCCTCTTCTATAAAATTACTTCTTTTCCTATAAACTATTCATCCATCTAAATCTCTTTAGTTTTGTACTAACAAAGAGAAATATAATTTTCAGATCAACCTCGTCCTTTGTCAGTGTCTTTCACTGCCACTTGCAATTATACATTATAAGTTTCTTGCTGTCGACAAGGTATCGCGCAATGTTCGTCTGGTTTTCCCTCTAACAGTCGGACTACTGTTTTGCTACTTTTGCTATGGGAAGTAGGTGATATTTTTACCTTACTCAGGATTTATTTTTCTTTTAGCATAAATTATCCGATTTTCTAAAACAGTATATTATGATATTGTTTCCAACCAAAAATCTGAATAAAACTGGTGGTTAAAACTGATTTGGGTATTGTATATGCTTATTTTTGCAGTGCTATGAAACATTTGCTTTCGAATGTTGGCATCTGTCTTATATTATTGCATTGTGCGCCTGCAAAACATGTTCATCAGTAGGTTTTGTTCACTTTATGCTTCTAATGTCATTGCAAAGAGAAGTGTTTCTGTGCATTGCCATCTCATTAAAACGGGAAGAAGTCTTCTCGAAGAAGCATAGTTGGATTACACTCAACTTTAATTCCTTGAATACTGTTTTATTTTTTTGCTTCCATTCTGTGCTAAGGGAGACCAAAAATGGGGGGAGGGGTGATACGAGGAGCGTAGGGAGGCGGTAGGGGATTTTAAAACTTGTCATACAGTTTGCAATTTAAAGCTAGTTGATTTCAAGAGAACGATAATCGGATAGTATAGGAGTAGTAAAATTTTCTTCCTTTAAAACATCACCAGACTGAAAATGTTTAGAAACACGGTTACAGAGTTTATTTGTAATTTGTAGATTTTTGGTGTTCTGCGGAATAGCTGTGATTTTCAGATACATATTCCTATTTTCTATGGGCTATTTAGTCTTTATACACTGGTATAGGTGGTACATTTTAACTTCCTATTCAATAGACGTTACAGGGCCTATGATGGTAAAGATTCTTTCTCGAAGTATCTCAACTTTCATGTTTTTCATTCTTTAAATCAAATTTTTTCAGTTTGCGTTTTTCCATACTTTGCTTTGTTAATTTTCAATTTTACTGTTTTTGACCTCTGCCTCGAAATACTTCTAGTGCGCTAATCTTTTTTGATTCCACGTTTAAAGAGATTTTATTGAGCGGATTTGAACTGTTTGGAAAGTTTGCATATTTTTTCAAAAACCTTGGTCCATAAAAGTTCGAGTTTTAAAACATAATTTACATTTCAGGTTCTGGTTCAAAAAGTTACTATGCTAGCTTTCTCTCTTCATGACGGAAAAGTAAAACGGCCGGAAGAATTGAACGCGGTTCAGAAACGAGAAGCACTTGTGTTAGTTTATAATTATCATTAGATTTTATATTTTCACCTGTCCGATAGTTATTTGGAATTTAAAAAAATGATTTGTTCGGTATTTACTGTAAGCAGATGCAACTTGAGCAAATTTTGCTCTTTTTATTTACAGTTTATGAAAGTTCTCAGAAGGCTGGATTTACCTATTTATTTCGTCAAATGCATAATATTTACTTATCGCTGTTTCGATATGTTTAGATCTCCACCAAGTTTCTTGGAATATATGAGCTATATGTTTTCCTTTCAAACAGTGCTAACTGGGCCTATGTTTATTTATAAAGATTATTTGAGCTGGATTTCCAATGCCAACACTGGTAGGAATGGCAAAGTTAGTCACATTTTGATGACTTTTTTTTTCTTCTGTAAAAAATTTCAAAAAATAAGGCGTTTAGGTGGAAAGTCCCTGGAAGGTTACTGGCCGGAAACTCATTGAAGCAGGATTGTTCTTGCTCATTATCTTTAAGTTCGAAGGTTCTTTTCATCCTAGCATGATTGCTGAACAGAGATATTTACAGTTGGATTGGTTTAGATGGTCTCTTCTATTTTTCTTCGTTATCTTCCTACAACGTGTACAGTACTATTATGCTTGGACAGTAGGTCTGGGATTTGTTTCAGATTTCCCTGGATTAAATAAGCTGAAACTTAATGGTGTTTTATGTCAATAAAGTTTTCTCTACTGATTTGTTTTAATTTTTGTTTCCCGGTTTTAGCGGATGCAATATGTAACGCGAGTGGATTTGGTTTTAATGGATACGATGAGTTTGGAAAACCCAAATGGGATTTGGTTTCTAACGTTAATTGGTTTAAAGTGGAGGTTGTGAAATTGAAGTGTCAATAATATTTGCTTTTGTAGATATTGGAGTATGTAATAAAGCCGCTCATCATTTGTTTTCAGAATCTGTATAAAAAATTTTTTTTTGTGCTTGTTGCAGATGGCCTTGAGTTTCAAAGAGACTTTGGACGCGTGGAATTGCTGTACTATGTACTGGTTAAGGAGAGTGGCATATGAGCGCACTCCAAAAAGGTATACTTTGTCGATGAGACTTCTTGTTTGAATAGTAGTGGAATAATTTCGGAAAGAGCAGATGCATCTTTTTTTCTGCTTTTATATTTTAAAATTTGAGAACCTTGTGGTTACTAAGTCAGTTTTGCGACTTTATCAATTTTTCTCCAGGTATCGAACAGTGGCCACGTACCTGTTGTCTGCTATATGGCATGGTTTCTTTTTTGGCTACTACCTCACTTTTTTAACTGGAGCACTGGTTACTGTGGCTGCTAGAACGGTTTCTTGCCCTTAATTATTCACCTATTTATTGTCGACATATATTTCTTTCGTTTGTGTATTCAGACGTAGTTTTAATTTTTAAAATCGTTCAGGTTCGGAGGTGTTTACGGTTTAGATTTCAAGGATCTGCGTCTTTGCGTTTTACTTATGACGTTTTAACCTTTTTGACAACTAAAATTGTGTTGGCTTACGCTACCTTCCCGTTTGTTACTATGCATCTGAATCCAGGTCTCTTTATCTACAGGTATTTTGCAATGTCATTGTTCAAATTTTTCAGTTTTATTTTTTTTTTTCGTTATAGTTTAAATCGTCTTTGACAGCACTAATCATTAAATGTATTATCTGTGAGTGTTGTTTTACCAACGTTTAGGCGCTTATACTTTTTCATACACATACTTGCGTTACTGGCTATTTTTGTTCTTCCGATAGTGATTCCACCTGAAGGCGAGAGTAAAAGGGTAACTCTAACAAATGAAAATTCGGGGACGGATGGAAAGGAAATCAAGAAGGATTAATGATAACTTTTTTGCTAGTTTGCTGTTAAGACCATATCCTTGTCTCAAGTCAACTTCTTACTAGTCTTACTGGAAAATGAAGGGAATACGGAGACAGGGGAAGATTCACGAGCTTTCGTGGTTTCCTGGCCTTCAACTAATGACATATCTTCTTTCTGTATTTTTCACTTCACCTGATCCTTGATACAGACTTCTGTTTTGTTTTGTTGTTAAATCTGATACTTGTTTCATAATTTAATTTTATCTATAAATTTTCGCCTTAAGTTTTACAACTTTTCTGGTCGGTAGCTGTAGGGAAACGAGGCTGAAGCAAGTTACTGTTGATGATGAGTTGAGCCATAGGGCTTCATGAAGTTCTAAATGGTAACTTTCATGAACTTTTCAGACCATATTAGTCCTAAATTTAACTCCTGTAAGTAAACTGGAATTGGCATAATTGCTATTTTTCAACATATTGTTTTT